GTACCTTAGACCTTGCGTCAACAAAATCCAGCTAATTGATTAGCCTCTGATTTGTACTTGTCACTGCCCGATGCAAAACGACTTGACCTTCCGAATTCAAACGCTTCTCTCACATTAAGGTGAACACAAGCTCCTGCGCACTTATTTGTTCATTTTAAGATGCCGTGAAAAAGGTATAAAGCGCTTGAGCCGCTTTCAGTTAGAAAAGGTTAACTTTTAATGAAGCTTTTTTAGCTATTGAGCAGTACAACAGTAGGTGGGAATGTATCAGGTGGGAAAGGTGATTACTTTTGCAATGAATTACAACATACCCAAACGGAGGGAAGAGAAAGGCGAGGGAGGAGGTGGGAAACGGAAAGGGATGTTAAGCCACAAATTCAGTGCCTTCTTCCACTCTTTTTTTGGAGTGAAGGCGAACCCAAAAATTGTTCTCCAATTACCGCTAACTCTTTGAGATCAAGCAGCAGATTGACTGCTTGTTTAACTTTTAGGCTCGAAAATTCTCAAAATGTCAAGGCGGCTCCTTTACTCATTTGCAAACTGAAAGCCAAAAAGCTTAAGAGCCCACTCAGACGTTGACATGAAGCACTGTCTCAATTCGGTCTTAAAAAAAGCCTCTTCAAGGCCTCAATTTAAGTCACCTATTTTAGTTTGTGCTCATAAAAAATGAATATAAAAGAAATTAGAATAATCACTTCTCCAACTGGGTAGAGGCTCACTGCAAAGTATCAATTTGGAAGTAGACGGTGGACAGCTCTGTGCTCCTCTTCGTGCCTTGTTCTCCAAATGACTGTCCAACTCCTATTTTAACTGCCTATTGCTTGTTGCCAAGAAAATGAGATAAGTATACGAGGCCTGGAGAAAAACCCTCATGAAAAATGGAATACGGATGAGACAGTCTCATACTCCATTCTCTTCTTCCCATCTCCCACACTTCCCCTCTCACTATTCCTCTTTCTAGACCTTAAAATGCAATTTTTCCCTGTGTAGCTAAGTTTAGCAGTTAAAAGCAGTGCGGATGTGGTGTTTTCCTGCACAAGCAGGACTTTCATTTTTATGATTCTGTGCTCTCAACCGTTTTCAAAGAATGCTCCCCCTAGCCGACTCTCCAATGTGCGGAGTAGGTGTGCTTTACAAAGGCAATTTACATCTCCAGTCCACAAATTAAATCTGATCTTGCGAAAAATGATGAAGTTTTGCAATAAGATAAGCGTAAAAAACAGGTTAAAGGATGTACAACGGGAGAATTGTTGATTGTTCCGGACGCAACAAAATAAAATCGAAGTAAAGAAATAACTTTTAGCTATGTTAATATTTACAAAGTCATTATACCATGATTAATATTAGGCTATCTACCAGCACAAAAATTAACAGGTTTCATGACACGTTATTTTGAGTTGAATTGGCACTAATCTACCCTAACTTGTAGGGACAAAATTGCTACAACGAGTGCTGAATCAAAAATTTATCAGACGGGCAAAATATGGCATAAATCCGCATTTTCGCCTACACAGAGGAGTACGATAGGCATTGCCTTCCTCTCTCTCCCTCTCTCTCTCCTAACCCCTGCCTCAATCTCGCATCTGATTGGCTACGAACACATCAGTAACTCATCGTCACGCACCTCATGTATGCTCAGAGAAATGGGGCAATGAAGGCTAGGAAAATAGGCAGAATTTAGACAACACGACGCACCTCGTTGACCCACCGAAGCTTCAGATCCGGTCGACCAGTGGCAGAGCACTTAACACTCACTGGTCCATTTACAACCGACTCCAAAACGGGCGGTAGCGGTCTCACAGCCGGTGGCTCTGTAACAGTGGAAATAATAGATTTTTTATGCAACTTTAAAGGTTCCCCATACTTTAAAATTGAACTGCTTTATCAAACATCGTACATCATGACCACTGTCAAATTGCTTCAAATTGAAATAAAACATTAATTTACGAACCAAAAACTCGGATGATGATCCTTTCTTCATCAATAGTGGAACCAAGACCCATTTGATCTATAAGTTCACATCGAAATTCCATGTCATTGTCCTCAAGACTTGCACCAGGATTTTGTTTTTCAATGCATAGCGATTCTACGGATTCTGTGACATCCTTCATTGAATATCCTGGATGAGAAGCAAAGAAGTCTTGACTGTTTGCATCAGTTTGCCTGAACTTCATTATTCGAACAAGACTGCGTAGTCGTTTGTCGCCTTGATGCAAAACGATAGCCTGGTTCTCTAGAAAAGAAGCCGTTTATTACATTATTTATTAATTAAAACAATTAGCGGATCTTGAAAATGGCATAATGAATAGCGGTGCATCTGCTAAAGGTGAGTGGCAACAATATGAACGCAAACTATGTAGCAACAAAGACAAACAACAAAAGGACCAAATATTGACTAAGCTTTTAAGAAACAAGCAAAGAGAATTCTGCATAATAATAAATGAGCTTAAGTACTTACCCTCTTGAGTTAATTCGCAGCATAATCGAATGCCGTCCCCCAATTTTACATAAACATCACGTTCTAAATGCAAAGACTCATAACAAACACACATAACAAACCTTTTGTAGCGTTTACAATTGGGATAAGGAATAAGGCTACGAATGAAATCAACCGTGAAATCATACTCGCATAGCACCATCAACTAAAATACCGCCAACCTCTAAGACATGCTCATGTGACCTTGAAAAATTAAAACACATTAAACAAATTTGGAATGCAATGATCATGGTCTTAAGACTTGCTTTAGCTAAACAAAATAACGTATTAAAAAATCACTTGTCAAAGCGCTTCTCAGAAAAATTCTTTTGTGTATTGTTTACACTATAGATAATTCTGATTAAGAGTCATTTATAAGACCTAACGTTTTTACCAAAGTAATGGATGGATGAATAAGA